AATGTTCAAAATGTTTACTTAGAACCGACTATTGAAAATTTTATTTGCTGAGCAAGTGAATGAAGAAATCGAGGAAAGAATGAGAAACAGGGGCAGCCAGGATTTTGAATATAATATGAATATTAATGACTGTTGAATAAAAAAATAAGGTTTAACTGAATAAAACTCTTCAATAATTTTTCATTTCAGTTATATTAATTATCATTTCATCGTAATCAACTTTTAAAATGGCTTAAAGATAGTGAATTCATAAGTGGAATTTGAAAAAATTTCTAGAAATCTGACAAAAATTATTTGTATAAAAAAATGGGAATTAAACCATTATAATTGTTTCAAAATTTCTTGAAACATGTATGAAATGATAGAACTTTGCTGTGTTGCCTATTTTTCGTAATATTTTTGTCAATAAATCAAACAAGTTTGACACGCAGAAAAATCACATTTTCCGGCTTTAGAAGAGGTTGATTATGTTGTAAACAACTGAAATTTGTTATTTTTAATACGTCTTCCCCAAAAAATTTTGCTCAGCGATTCTTATTGCAGCGGCTGAAAAATAACGGAGAGCAAAGAAAAGTGCATTTCTCTTTGAGACAAAGTTGACTTTCAAAGTATAACATTGTCTGGTCAAATTTTATTTTATCCTTTTAATTCTTGTCATATTAGTACATTTAGAATTTTTTACAATTTCAAATTCAAATATGTGATTGCAATCAAACGATTTAGACTAGAATTTGAATAAATTAACAAAACTATACCAACAAATCTCAGTATACGAAATATAAAATGCACATAAGGAAACTGGTAATAAAATTTGAAATGAACTACATCGTTTCTCATTTTAAATAAAATATGCTTCTTCAATAAATGCATAATTGTCTTTCATCTTCCCTCAAACTTGTCCTTTCTTCAAACCATTCATGCAGTGAAAAAGTCAATAACGATATGTTTGAACAACGATCAATTAGGTTACTGCCTGGGACTATAATAATCAGTGCTTGGTCATTTTGATTATCAATTATAATTATACAACAATAGTTTCATTTTATTTATTAAAGATCAATCAAAGATTTCTTTGAACAAATTTTTGAAATTGTTTCTTCTTCGATTGGAATAAAATTAATTCTGGGATAGTAAATATTTCAGATGAAGCATACTGTTAAAAAAATATTAATGCATAAATTGAAGAAAAAAGTTATTAATTTGTATTCTGTTTGTTACATTTATAAACTTTTCAGCACTTGAGTTTTCAAAAATCAATGTTGCGTACTTAATTAATAGAGCATTGTTTCTAAATAGCTTTTTTGCACAAATCAAAACAAATTATGTCTTGGAAAATGTTAATTGATGCCATCTTATTCATTTACTTGTACCGCTATTGTCATAAATTTCTATTTTTTCTTTTTGGAATTCTGCATTCATTGTTATTACTTAATCATTCTTAAAAAGTGCAAAATTTCCTAATTTATTATAAAACACATGCTCAGTTTTCAATATGACAACGGAAATGAACAATACGTTAAATATTTTGAAAATAGCTTTCATAAGAGATTTTATTTACAGAAAATATCCAAACGATAAATGGAAGATTTTGAATCAAAAATTTGAATTGGATTTTAATGAAAACATTGTTTGTGAAAAGAAAAAATTATTTTTTTCATTTTTTTGGAAAAAAAAGGGAAGAAAGCTATATCTTTAACACATGCCAAAATGTGACTCTATTAAAATGAACAATTTTATTTGATTTTAAATTGGATGCTGCCTCTTTGCGAAATTGAGGTTGCAGAGATTTGTCGGCGCAACTGACCTGATTCCATTCAATCGTCCAAACTTCAATATTGCAACAAATTATTCTACCCTCATTGCCTCTGGCTAACCTGGAAATCCAAAAAAACTGCTTCGTTTTCTGATTTTTCAATTTTTTAGTTTCTTAATTTGCATTTGAAACTTTGTAAATTTATGATTTTGCCCCTATTTTTGCTTTATTTATTCTTCGCTATTTCTACAGGTAAATTTTTGCTTTATTTATTCTTCGCTATTTCTACAGGTTCCATTTTTTTTCGTATTTTCTACAATATTAGAAATATTGGAGCAAAGTTTTGCCTTGAAAAAGGAGAATAAGTTTAGTAATTTTGTTTATAAAGAAAGAAAAGTGGATTCATGGAAAGCCTTACAACTTTATACAGTGATACTTAAATTTGTAAGTATTTCGAAATCTTTACTTGTCCATTTTGAAAGTATTACCAGGCTCATTGTTCTCAGTTATAAATTAGTATTTGAATCCAGAGTTTTTATGATTAAATATTGCAGTTTAACAGATGCTCTAATATGTTTGTTAATAGGTAGAAATTACCGCAAACCAGAAAGTAATCTAAGGCGTGCTTCTATCGTTCCTTGGTGGAAATACTTGACTATTGACAATGATATCATTAATCAAACAATGTCTCCGCAAACATCCACTAAACATCAATTGTCATTAACACCTCTGAAAGGTGTTAAAGAGATGGATATGATTAAGGGTGACACGATAAAATCAAATCCTTACTTTCATCGATATAGCACATATCACAATAGTCAAAACGCTATACCTACGAGTATTGATAACCGGAGCATCAGAGTCATAAATCGTTTACGACGGAAAAATCATACAGCAACTACTGCTCATCAATCAACGCCGGCTAATTCGAACTTTGGGTACATTAAATACCGTTATTCGAGTGTAAAAAATGAATTAAAATTTTCTTAAATATTATCTCGGATTTTGAGTCATTTTGTCTGCTTTTAAGTTTTATTTATTCGGATTATCACAAAGGAAAACATCTTTAGAAAGTTAACTAAATGTTGTGAAATTAATTTAGTGGGAATGTTTGAGAGAATGCAAGTCCTTCTTAGCCTCCTGAATTCACCATAATAATAAAATCTGATCTGTCAGCAATATTTTAAAGTTTTAGGTCTTTATGGGATGATTTAAAATAATGATCGAACGTATATTCACATACAATAAGCAATGAGGTTAAATGCAATAACTATTTATAGTACTCATGGCACTGTTTAGAACCTACTTACGAGGTCATCCAATGAGATGGTCATCACCCGACCCACAAATGACAGGACTGCATGCAGTAAATTCATTCCAACCATTCACTCCTGTCGCCAGTACTGCTATCAGGTCTAATATCAATAATTTTAGCAATATAGCTATGATTTATCTATAGAATTGATTTGAATCAGTGTTTGCAAATTTCAAATTTCAAATCCAAATTATCGAATACATTCTGAAAAGACTATGATAATGATACCATCAGACAGGTCGATATCAAACGCTCGTTTTTCACGACTGATTCCTCCACAAGCCCTGTTCATTCCGTCCTCAAGCGTAGTCCTACCTCAGATTCAATCTCAAGCCAAGTTTTCACCTCTTCCCTCACACATCGCTGTTATGGAAAATCTGCATGCACTCGGCGCTAGTGTTGCATCATTTCTATCTTCACGTGATACAATGGAACGTTTTGCGAAATTTGCAAAAAATTTACTCAGTTTATCAACTTCAAATCAGGTAACCCTCCAGAATTGCGGATATTATTCATGAATGATTCAATTTTCTTTCAAAAGAAATATTTTAGACTTGCATGAAATAATAATTTAACAAAAAATGAACCTGGAAAATCAACTTGATGGAATCGAATCATTCAAATTACTTAATTTTTGCATTATATTAATAAAAAAGCTAAAACTTAATTTAATTATAATCAGCCTGATAAAACACTGCCATCATTGGCGTCAGCGGTAAGTGGTACGAAATCCTTTATTGTACGAAGTAATGATGATATTAAAGCATCAGATGGGACATCGTCTAGTATATTCAGCAT